ATGAGCCCCTATGGCAGACATCTATTGGCCTTGCATATCACATCTAACACCACTAATAGCCATGCTCAAAGAAAGAGGAACAGACTGTCTGATAACACACCAGCAGCAGACACGGTGAGATGCGAACAAAGATGTGGACAAAAAAGCAACAAGTGCAAACATGCACATGGGAAAGAATACAGATGAGCAGACAGACAAGCACCTGTAAACTAGCAGGCAACCTCGCAGACAATAAGCAGAGATATGGGTAGGTAAAGAGACATACTGCTTAAACTGAGACAAAATTCCATAAAGAAAGACAATCTGATAGGCAGGTGGACAGAGCAGTACACAGACACACACAGTGTTATTGGTTATCATCCTCCACTCCCTTTTCTGTTGGTGGCACTAAATTTTTAAAAATGTGCTAATCAATACAGCATATTAACTGTATATCATTATACAACACATTGGTTTGAACTCATACCATGAAGGTGTAATATGTGACTGAATGCACATGGAGTGGTCATACAGGGGCAGGACCCATGACTGTCGAGACTCCCTCTGTTCTCTCCTTTGTGGGAGATAGTGATAAATGATTAATAGGCTCACCACTGTTGTGTGCGTGTGTGTCGGGAATTTCTGTCTTCTGCCCCCTGGCTTCTATCACTGCGGTACTGTTCACACATGATTTTTATACATACACACATAGAAAGAGAGAGAGAGGGAGATTTTTCATCATAGGCAGCAGAAGCATCATCTTGTTCGGGCTCATAAATAATTTCCTCCAGCTCAAGTCTGGCCTGGAAACCTGCCTTTCACTCCATGCCATCCACTCCCCCTCTCCAAGTACAACTTTCTCTCGCTGACTCCCTGCCATCTCCTCTCCCTCTCTTACCACACTGATCCTCCTCACTCTTCCTCCCTGTCACTGATTGCCATCCCCCACTATCCCCCTCTCCACTGGTAAAACTACCATGCTCTCTTTGGCTTTGTGCCCCCCAAGCTGACCGCATGTTCTAGTACAATGACCCATATCCCTCTCTCCAGTGCTTTATTTGTAAATCTGGAAAACTCAAGAGCAGCGGAGGGGGCTGGGGTGATCTGGCGGGTCAGAAAACACATCAAAACCACACTGCCTGGAGCACATTAGACAGGGTCTTGGTGCTGTATCTTAATGCTGTCATGCAATAAACAGTGTTTGGCACTGGATATACATTTGTAGACAATCTCCTTTTCGAAACAGTGCTACTCAAAAAAATGCATCATTAATAACTGGAGACACTACTGAAGCAATAAAATAATAAGCATGCAGTTGGTCACCTATCAAATCAGACAATATAGGTTCGGGCAAGAAAATAATGTGGAGTGAGTTCTACTTTGCTCCTGGAATTTTCTGAATAATATTGGGATACAGTAAAGCCGTGGCAAACTGCTGCCAACTTAAGACCCCCAGCAGTGTGTAGTAGTTAACAAATAGTTCATTTTCAACTCTGCAATGTCAGGAGAAACTCAATAGAGAACCCATTCAGTGTTTCTGAACATAATTGTCTGAATGACCCTGTAGGGGCAGAACATCACCTGCAGTTTGAAGCAATGGCACATGGCAACCTCCAAGGCTGAGAAATGAAGCCAATGCAAAAGTGCCAAAACCTACAGTTCCTTGAAAGGCCGCTTGAGGCTGGCTTCAAAAGGGAACCAATCCCCATAGACTTCCACAATAAACTGCCCATAAGGGGTTAATAACTCGCCCGTTTAAATTATATTGAGACTAAAAGTTACACATAATTAACTGGCATGGCCACAGTGACAGGCAGGAGGGTCCTGTCCTAGGTGGCTGGCTACTAGCTGTCTAGAGAGCTCCACTCACACTCTGCCTCTTTGCCCATGTTTGGATTAGACCTAGCAGGTGGAGTGAAGTGCTACCAATATGGCGACATCCAGACTTCAAAACCACTCTTCAAAAAACAAATGGGTGATGTCATAGTGGGTTTGTCCAGTTTTTATACAGTATATAGTCAGTGGGAAATGGCAGCTATCAAACAGGAGAAGTAACCTCATCTCTCTGGACGGGTTACACAGGAACTTGAGAAGATAAAGAAATGGTGTGACAGCAATATAGTATCTCTGAATTTGGATAAAACTAAATTTATGGTATCTGGGAATCGTAGACTAGATAATGAACTTCAATTGAAAATTGGGGGAGCTAATATAGAACAAGTATATGAAATCAAATTTCTAGGTGTCATAGTTGATGACAAATTCTCCTGGAAATCTCATATCAGATATGTTCAGCACAAAATAGCAAA